TTTTTAGCATAAAATAGGACATTTTCTCTTTTTATTGTCATGAGCATCCCTTAAAATTTTTGTGGGGAGGAGACTAGAAAACATGCTTCTCTGAGGATCCAGTCATTGTTGAATAATTATTACTTTTGACCTCTAGGTGTCCTCATACTAAAGGCTGTAGTAAAAACTATTTGTATTTCTTAATTTGAGTGGACTGTGTAGCTCTCCTTTTTTGCCACAGAAATCACTCTGAAATCATCTCTCTTCTACAGAAAATCCTGCTTTCTTCAGATACTCTCCACACTAAGTCCTCTTGACTCTATCTCTGTTAAGTCAAGAACAAAAATTGTACTTTCCCCCTTGGTCTCCTTTTGCTGCAATGTATTGCTTTTAGAGATCTCATCAGAGGGGTGCCCGGTGGCTCAGTTGGTTAAGTGTCTGACTCTTGGTTTCGGCTCAAGTTATGTGGCCTCATGGGTTTCAGCCCCACGTCAGGCTATGCTCTGGCAGCACAGAGCCTGCTCAGGATTCTCCCTCTCTCTGCCCTTCTTTGCACTGTCTCTGTCTCTCTCAAAATAAATAAATAGCTTTTTTAAAAAAAGAAAACTCATCAGAAAAATAATGAATTTTAAGGACTCATCAGCAAGTATGAGGTAAGTGAGTGCCAATAGACCAAAGATTCAACTTAGAAAGTTGGGTAATAGGACTCCAAAAAAAGGCAAGGAAGAAGTAATAGGAGAGTGTCCTACATCAGACTGAGGGAAGGTGAAGCATTATATGAGTCAGAGATGTTAATGAGGATGAAGGAGTATCTAATTTGGAGTCCGGAGACTTGGGTTTTAGTCCCACTTTCTCCAGTTACTGAATATTTTAAAAATTGGACCATTTTCTTAAGCTTTATAGGCCCCATTGTCCTCATTTACATATTAAATAGATTAGTGTTACCCAATCTTTGACTCACAAATTTCTTTTATACTAATATATAGTCTTTTGAACTTTTTAGGAATTTAAAACCTAATTCTGTCACTACATGGCATATGATAAAGAATTGATTTTAAGTAGAAAGTATTTATTTTAGACCAGTATGTTAATATACTCTTTGATATTATTCATGCATATGAGAAAAATTGTCTACATTTTATCATTCAGTAATTGCTACTTAATGTATTTAAAATCGGTTGTGTAAGAAAAAGCATATTTTATTGACAAATTCAAAAATAAAATATTATAGCTTTTCAGGGGGCTGAGTATATTTAAATGTTTTCCAGCATCAAATAAAAAGAAAATCAAAATCTACTTTTAATACCCAAAATTTGAAATTTTAGGATTAAAAGGATATGCTAGTTTATTTTTATAATTTTTACATCATCTATATGATGAAAAGATTTCAGGCTGCTGTGTGCAGAATTTCTGCTACTGAACATGCTGCAAAATGAGGTAGGCTTTTCTCTCCTACATGAAAAGCGAAGTTGGATTGTAATCACCAAAATTTTACCTTGACATTGCTTTTGGGGGTGGGGTGCCCAAAAACATATTGGTGCATTTTATATAATTTTATAATTTAATGAGTGGGGTTGGGATTGAATCTAACTTTCATAAATCTAGCAAGAGCATCTTTAGACACATTTGTAACATTACTGTGTTCATTAACACAATCAGTGCTTCCTATCATTAACCAACAATGTATGATGAGTATAAATTAAGCACAATATCAATACAAATGGCTAAGAATAAAAACAGTTGTGTGAAAATCAAAGCCATACACTGATACAGGGTTCAAACAAGTGAGTCCTGAATTCATTCAACAGGTTTCCACTCTCCCTCTATGTGTAGCAGGGAAAGCACTCAGAACATTCTTTAATATTAGAATAATTATTTGTTAGATTTTAGAAATTGGTAACTATTTGATTTTGTCTTATAACTTCAAGTATCATGGAATACCTCTAAGTCCCTGGGAGTTTAATAACTGCCTGTTGAGAGATCCTATATCAGATAATCTTAAGGTTCTATATAGCTCTGATGTTCTAAAAAGCTGGTAATAATTTGAAAATTCATACAAATTGGCACAGACTATCATTTCATCTAGTCCACTCTTTCTAATATGGTGTGAGTCAAAGTCGTAGAAAGGTTTGTTACTACTTCTTAGTAACAGAGATAGTTCCCCACGCATCCTGTTTTTTGTCAATAGACAATCATGAACTTCTCATCACTGAATTTTCTGCATCTTTTGGGAAGATACGTGTTCTGCCTTTTGTAGCAAGTCATGATAAAGGTGTTATTTCTTTTCTTTTTCTTTTTTTGAGAGAGAGAGAGGGAGCGAACATGTCCACAAGTGGGGGAGGGGCAGAAGAGAGAGAGAGAATCTTAAATAGGCTCCACCCAGGCACCCCTTGATCTGTCTTTATATAGCAAACTTACCATGTCTTACATCCTGAACATTACTGAACTCATTATATAACACTGCACAAGTTCCCTAACCTTCCTGAGCCTCAACTTCTCCATCTATGGAAAGGAGTTGGTAGTTGTTCAGAGGATTAAATAAAATAATCTGTACAATGGTTAGTACCATGCCTGGCTTATATTAAGTTCTCCATAAATTTTTCTGCCATTGATACCATCATCATCATTTCCCCACTTTCAAACCTGAGTTCTGTCCCTTAAATGGGGTGGGGGCAGCAGAATTTTTTTTAGGGCTTTTATGTATCCATAGCTTCCAAAAACTGTGTGTAAACTGAATAAATAATATGACCTGCATGTATAAATGACTATTTTTCAAATAAATATAGATGATATTGGGGCGCCTGGGTGGCGCAGTCGGTTAAGCGTCCGACTTTAGCCAGGTCACGATCTCGCGGTCCGTGGGTTCGAGCCCCACGTCAGGCTCTGGGCTGATGGCTCGGAGCCTGGAGCCTGTTTCCGATTCTGTGTCTCCCTCTCTCTCTGCCCCTCCCCCGTTCATGCTCTGTCTCTCTCTGTCCCAAAAATAAAACAAACGTTGAAAAAAAAATATAGATGATATTGTGACTAATAAAATATAGATTCATTCAAAATTGTTAATTCACAGTAATATTCTGCTTTTGTTTTTTTCAATTAACAAACACTAAAAGTTAAATTTGAATTATTTTAGTGTTAAAGGGAGCCTATAAGCTTGAGATGGTTGAACCCCATTATTTTATCATTTTATTCTTTCTTCTGTTGACTTCCTCCAATTCCATTATGTCTGCTTTTGAGGTTTGATGAGCTCAACCATGCAGTAGATCATGGTAGATTTATGTGCGCCACAACTTCATACAATATTTGGATTTTTTTTCTCTTATAATAACTGATTGCATCCAATTGTTTGTTGGCATTTGGTGAACATCATACTATAAATTGATACTGGCAGAATTTAGCAGGGTCTTTCTCTACTTTGTATTGGGTGATGATGGTCTCCTCAGGTTTGTGTGTGGAGATTTAGGTGTCCATTGTTTACCTTCTGCAACTCTCTGAAATAGTATTTTTCATACTTGTATTTACCCTCTTTTGGCTGCAGGTGAAACCCAACCCAACTGAAATTAGCTTTAGGTAGAGTGAAGATATTATTCAAAGAATTCCTAAGCAAAAGGTTTCACAATCTGACCTTGGGAAACGCACATACAGCTGGGTTTCAGGGGTCCACACACTGCTGGAACATTCCCTTTGAGCCTCCTGTCTGCTGACAGACTTCTCTCACAAGGCAAGGAACTGAGCTGCCACAGATCAAACTAAGTCATACTCTTTCTGGCTCCATATTTGGAATTCCTTGAGAAAAGGCTTTGATTGTCCCAGTTTATGTCAGGTGTCCCTGACTAATCAACTATGGCTGGAAAGGTGGGATATTATAGTGGCCAGCTTGGATCAGGTGCTACCTCCTGTCAGTCTAGAATATCCCCATTCTCCAGAGGAATCACGTGATTAGAGTTCAAGGAGGTTTGATTATCTCCCAGAAGATGTGAAATAGGTGCTTTGCAGTAGAAAATAGCTGTCCTCTGTAATATTGTTTTGTGATTATTGGTTCCTTATACATTCTTCCAATTAGACTATAATGTAGGTTCTTGGGGGAAGATATATTTGTTCAATTCTATCCCCAGGCCTAGGGTAGCATCTGTTGCAAGTGATTTTTAATAAATGATGAACTAATTAGTTAGTGTAATATGTTTTGGTACACAACGTGGTTATGTAAGGTTTTGTTATGTGTTGTTCTGTTGTAGCTTACAAAAATGACTTCACAGTTCTGAGTTCTAGTTCTGGCCCATTCATTTATGAGCCACATCTGAAGTGCAGTCTCTTCCTATGTGAAATGGAAGCCTCTCTCTTCTATGACAGTCACCATTTATAGATATGAACTTGCTTTGAAAGTATAAAAATATTGTACTACATACACATAAAAATTACATACATTTTTCAAAGCTCTGTGTGTATTTATCATTTGCTTACTTGTAGATCAGAAAATATAAAGTCATAAATGTTGGCTGAACTTGTCAGAAATACCTCCTTTTTGTGTGTTTTCAGCTCCACTCGGGGGAAGGGGGTACGTATGATAGATTTGTCTTCAGGTTGGAGTATATGGACTTTAAATTTAGTCCTGGGGTGCCTGGGTGGCTCAGTCGGTTGAGCGTCCAAATCTTGGTTTCAGTTCAGGTCATGATCTCGCAGTTCCTGAGTTTGAGTCCCGCATCGGGCTCTGCACTGAAAGTGCAGAACCTGCTTGGGATTTCTCTCTCCCTCTCTCTCTGCCCCTCCCCCAGCTTGCTCTTTCTCTCCCTCTCTCTTTCAAAAAATAAACATAAAAAAAATAATCTACTCCTTAATTTTTTATGGGATTATGCCTTTATGGGATTTCCCATAGGCAAATCCACTCTCCAGATGGGTGATAAGGAGATAGGACCTTTCTAAACATTTTACTGTGTCCTTTTTACCATTTTTAGGTTTTTGTCAAGCAGGAAAGGATTTGCGTTTGGTATCTCTTTGTATGGAACAAATCGACATCCCAGCAGGATTCCTCCTGGTAGGGGCCAAGTCTCCCAATCTGCCTGAACACATCCTCGTGTGTGCTGTAGACAAGCGATTTCTACCAGATGATCATGGGAAAAATGCACTTTTAGGTGAGTATTTCACACCTATAAAATTCCTTCCAAGATGAAGGAGTTAAACTACAAGTTTAAATTATCATAGGGGTGCCTAGGTGACTCAGTTGGTTGGGCGTCTGACTCTTGATTTCAACTCAGGTCAAGATCCTAGGGTTGTGGGATCAAGCCCCACGTGGGGCTCTGTACTGAGCATGGAGCCTGCTCAAGATTCTTTATTTCTGCCCCTTTGCCCAACGCTTGCTCTCTCTCTCAAATAAAAAAACAAAAATTAAAAAAACATGTTAAATTATCACAGATTTTTTTTTTAGATCACAGAATTAATTGGGAATTCTGTAATTAACTCATGTATGAAACATTTTTTTTCTTTTAGTAACTTCTTAAAAATTAGCTTTTATTTTTTATTCATTCCCAAAACACCCGCCTTGAAGAGGCGGCCTTTTCAAGCCAAGCTAAAGGATGGCATGCGATTTATCAAAAATTAATTCTGTGTAAAGCAAAGTAGGATTCACTCTGTACAGAGTTATTGATCTAGACCTGATGTCCAGTCAACTCTCAGTTATTCAGCTGCAGATTATCTGCTTTGTAAGTTTTTGGTAGTTTCTCCATACTACCCATCATTCCTAGCTATATTTGATTGATGTGATTCCCATGTTATATTTAGCATTAGTTCAACCAAAGTAACTAGGAATATACATATTATGTAAAATGTATTACTGTATCTCAGAATTGTTTTATTCTCTGGCTTTACTTTGAGTCTGGACTTTTTCTTTCACAACCTAGCTTCCTTACATCATGGGAAATAAAGACTGGATTTATTTTTTTTTTCAACGTTTTTTATTTATTTTTGGGACAGAGAGAGACAGAGCATGAATGGGGAAGGGGCAGAGAGAGAGGGAGACACAGAATCGGAAACAGGCTCCAGGCTCCAAGCCATCAGCCCAGAGCCTGACGCGGGGCTCGAACTCCCGGACCGCGAGATCGTGACCTGGCTGAAGTCGGACGCTTAACCGACTGCGCCACCCAGGCGCCCCTGGATTTATTTTTAATTAAGAAGACAAGATGGCACATGAGATGTCTTTAGTGAAAATAATAAAAATGAAAGGAAAGAGGGCAAAGAATTCAAGAATTGTATTGTTCGTAAGCTGTACTTGTTTAGTTTGATAACATTTTTCCTAGTTACACAGTGTCATCAGAAAGTCTGGAAATATATACATCAGTATCCTGAGTTAGAAAGTAACCCTATCCATGCTTTATAAAAGTTCCTTAACTTATAATTCAAAGCTTTTTCTTGGTTCATAGGAAAAGAAGTGATAATTTCCATAGGCTTTCATAAAAAGATGATGATTTTCTTTTAGTGAAATTGAGCAGATGGTTTAACACAGAAGCCTAATGGTAAAGTTTATAACTTGGACTAAATTAGCAAAGAAGTTTCTAAGTATCTGTTCACTCATTCATTCAACACTTTATTCAAAATGTACTATGTGACAAAAATCATACTAGGCTGTGTTGTGGGAGCACAAAAATGTTAAGACACAGAGCTAGTAATCTAGTTGGCTGTGGTATAACAATTTTGGGAAACTTCTTTTTAGCATTTTAAAAGCATCATAGTGTTGAGGTGCCTGGCTGGCTCAGTCAGAAATTGGTTGTAGATTGCTATAAACAAACAAACTTTTAAAAAATAAATAAAAGCATCACCGTGACATCAGATGGAATAGTTTACATGTGGCTCTGACCACAGACACAGAAAAATATCTCATGATGCCTTTTTGCTTAATGATTCTTCATGACTAGAGGAATCCTCCTAGAATACATCATGAAAGGATACAAGAAACACCATCAGAATAATAGATTTTCAGGGTGTCTCAGTCGGCTGAACGTCTGACTCTTGATTTCGGCTCAGGTCATGTTCCCAGGGTCATGGGATCAAGCCCTGCATTGGGTTCTGCACTGAGCATGGAACCTGCTTAAGATTCTCTCTCTCTCTCTCTCTCTCTCTCTCTCTCTCTCTCTCTCTCCTTCTCCTTCTCTCCCTCTCTCTCTCTCCCTCTGCTACTCTCCCCCACTTACACGCTCTGTTTCTAAAAAGAGGAAGAAGAAGAAGAAGAAGAAGAAGAATAGATTTCATGATTGTGTATAATAATGAATATGAGATCAAAGACCTTGGTCATTGGAGTTGGAACTGGGATTAAAATCCCAGATTTGCCACTTAGTATTTTCAGAACTGGGGCAAGCTACTTATTCTCATGAGGTCTCAGATTTCTCATCTATAAAAAGAGGCCAATGATGCCTAACTTTCAGGGTTGTAAAGATCAAATGAGATGATGTATATAAGGCAAACCATCCAGCACAGTGCCTGGCACAGAGCACTTGCTCTTTAAATGGTTATTATTCTGCCATTCTGTCATATTTATTAATACCTTTATAGAAATGGAAGTTTGTTTGCTTTCTCTAGCCTTGTGAATGGACATAATTTTTTAGTAACCACTTTCCAAGTGAAAGTGTAGTGCAGCAAGATGGTAGAACTTTTCTCTTAGATAAGCATGTTGTTGAGATTTTTGTATGTTAATATCCATCCAACATTTCTTACTGATGATAGATTATTTTAGTATGCATTCAAGTATAGTGGGAAAAATTTTAAGCTTCGAATATGTTAGAATCCCAGTGAACTCCAATATCAATTTATAAACTTTTTATATAAATTATGCTGATTCAAAAGACTGTGAGTGAAGGAATTGGTTAAAAAATATATTGAGGGGGCATTTGGGTGGCTCAGTTCGCTCGGTGTCTGACTTTTGATTTTGGCTCAGGTCATGATCTCACAGTTGTGGGATCTGGTCCTGCACTGGACTCTGCACTGAGTGCTAAGCATGGAGACTGCTTGGGATTCTCTTTCCCCCTTTCTCTCTGCCCCTCCCCCACTCATTCTCTCTCTCTTTCAAAATAAATAAACATTAAAAAGTATATATTGATCCAGTTGGCAGTTCATTCATGTGTCCCAAATCTACTGTGCAATTGGAAGACTTGGTTGACAGAAACACTAGATAGGTAATTTAGCTGTAAGAGGTATTATTTTTTGTGATGATGACAACAAGAACTTTGGGCAGATAAAATCTCTCTTGAACAAAGACTGATACTGAAACTGTACAGAGTTTAAAAAATGAGCTGTAGGATTCTTTGTCTTAAATATTGTTAATTCTCATCATTAATGTGCCATCTCTGTTCTTTGAAGATTGTCCAGATCCTTTGCTTTTCTTCCTTTGTATATTCTCTTGCTTTTCACCTCAGAGAATAAGCAAAAGAAAAAAGATAAAACCTCACCTCAGTAATTTGTTAATTTTAATTCTCACGCTAATCTTTTATGAACTACTTGGATCTACCAGATAAGCCTCTTTTGGGAGGCACCATCTTTAATTGTTTTGACTAAAATGTTCTTATATTATTTTACTGGGTTCTACATCTGCCTGGCAAGCCAGGCACTTTTCTGTCAAGGCCTGATAATCGCACCACAATGTAAGTTACATGGAGGCAGTGGTTTTGTCTCCTTTGCTCCGTGCTGAAAACCTGGTACCTGAAAGAGTGCCTAGCATATGGTAGAGTATATAAGTATTTGTTGGATGGATGGATGGATTTGTTGGCTAGATGCATGGATGCATGGAGAAATGGATGATTAGATGGCTTGGGAACTCGGTGAAAAAAATTGGCATTTTTTTTTTCTTTTTTTGGTTTTGGCCTGTAGCTATAAAGCATTGGACAGCTAGCCAAATGCTCTCAAATTCAGTCCATCTCTGAATATATTTTAAATAATTTATGTTTACATTTCTATAAAGTAACAGTAATAAACTAATTATATAAATTACTAATTTTATATAACCGATCAGAAGATATGACTATCTCTGTTTTTCCAGTTTTGCATCATGCCTGGTATATAGGTGGATGCTCAGTAAGTAATTGTTGAAAAAATAATAAATTGGACTGCCATTTCTATTGATTGTCAGAATTGACTGTCTGCGATTGGTATGTTGTGAGATATTCTGTCTTTAATCCTGGTGGCCTTTCTCTTCTCTCCTTTTATATCTTTGTTAACAGGTTGGTTTAGGGGTTTAAAAAGAGTATCACTTCATCAGTGGATTGATTTTAAGTTAGTCATTTATATAGAGAGAGATTGTACGTGTGGAGTTTGGAATGCCTTTTCTCATTTACACCTATCTTGTCCTTGTTCACTACATGGCAGTACATATGATGCTTCCTCCTCAGTCACAACCAGAGGAACTCACATTATTTCTGTGTGACTTTTCTCTGTGATATTACGGGATTGATTTCCAATTAAGCAAAGGATAGCCTCACATCCTCTTAGCCTCCTCCATTTCTTCTTTCTGTGCCCCCTGCTCTAAGCAGGTCACTGAAAGTTTTATTTTGTTTGAATAATCTAACAAATTAGATGTTTGGATGTTTGATCTAAAGGGATAATAAGCTAGTTTGAGTATGGGGGGGGGTGAATAAAGAGGAAATGGGACTCTCGGGGCACCTGTGTGAGAAATTACAGCTAGCTGTCATAGGAACTGGAAAGTTGACAGCACCTGGGCTTGCCCATCACTGTCCATGCCCTCCTCTCTGCAGACAACCTTCACAGTTGCCAATTTATTCTCTCCCATCCCTTAGCTGACAGGTGGTTGGACATAACCCCCAACTTGGGTTCCAATTTTATAAAACCTTACAAATTTAGGGCCCAGTTCCATCTGACTGATTCTATTTGTATTTATTTTAAAATTCCAGGAAAGGGGCACTTGGGTGTCTCAGTCCTTTGGGGATCTGACTCTTGATTTCATGATCCCAGGATTGTGGCCCTGAGCCCTGCATCGAGCTCCATGCTGGGTGTGGAGCCTGCTTGGGATTCTTGTTCTCTCTCCCTCTGCCCACCACCTCTCAAATAAAAAACAAATAATAGGGGCGCCTGGGTGGTGCAGTCGGTTAAGCGTCCGACTTCGGCCAGGTCACGATCTCGCGGTCCGTGAGTTCGAGCCCCGCGTCAGGCTCTGGGCTGATGGCTCAGAGCCTGGATCCTGTTTCTGATTCTGTGTCTCCCTTTCTCTCTGCCCCTCCCCTGTTCATGCTCTGTCTCTCTCTGTCCCAAAAATAAATAAACGTTGAAAAAAAATTAAAAAAAAAAAACAAAAATAAATAATAAAATATTTTTAAGTTGAAAAATAAAATAAAATAAAATTCCATGAAAGAGACTCTGACTGTCCCAGACTGGGTCTGATATTAGCACAATCTAATCATCTGTGACAGTGCACATGGTGGGTAGGGCAGAGAACCAGGGCCAGCAAGTTCTCTAAGAAGGGAGTGTGTGGGGAGGAAATCATGGGCATCTCTAGAAGCAAACTTTTTCATATTTTTATGTCAACTGTATGAATTCTATCACATGCTACTATCCACTCTATTTTCTTAGCCATTAAACTTAGAGCAGAATTTAAATTACTTTCAGTCTTCCACTATTATAAAATAACTCTGCTAAAAAAAATTGGTGTTTTTCCTTGAGGTTAGGAAATTATTGGGTCAAAAGCACTGAATATTTCTATACTTTTCATATGTAAAAGTATTGTATCAATTTACAAATCCACCGGTAACTTTGGTTTGTCTTCTTTCAGGGTTTTCCGGAAACTGTATCGGCTGTGGAGAAAGAGGATTTCGGTATTTCACAGAATTTTCCAACCATATTAACTTGAAGCTCACCACCCAGCCAAAGAAGCAGAAGCACTTAAAGTACTACCTAGTCAGAAGCTCCCAGGGTGTACTGTCGAAGGGACCTCTTATCTGCTGGAAAGGTAGCGTCAACTTCTGGGAGGGAAAGGGAAGGGAAAGGAATGAGGATGTTACAGTAAGGACAAGTGGCCTTCTGGGGTTCAGAATCAGGTATGATGTATGTAAATATCCCAAGTTCAGAAGACTATCCAAAGATGTGAAGCTCTCTGGCAGGTTATTTGACTTGCTTCTTTCTTTCTTTTTTTTTTTTTTTTTTAATTTTTTTTTTTTAACGTTTATTTTTGAGACAGAGAGAGACAGAGCGTGAATGGGGGAGGGTCAGAGATAGAGGGAGACACAGAATCTGAAACAGGCTTCAGGCTCTGAGCGGTCAGCACAGAGCCCGACGCAGGGCTCGAACTCACGGACTGCGAGATCATGACCTGAGCTGAAGTCGGACGCTTAACCGACCGAGCCACCCAGGCGCCCCAACTTCTTTCTATTTTCAATAGAGACTATCCAGGTTTAGAAAAAGTGCATGTCTCTTTATATTTGTCTCTTGGGAGGGTGGAGTACAGGAGGACTCTTTTCAGCTTTCCTGTCACTTAGAGAGGACCTCAAAGTGTCATTTTTCTGGTTAGATGCTCTTTCTATTTTATTTAGGTTCTTTGGTAATTCTCAAGCATCTAGTTTTCTGTTTTCATTAGAACTAAGCATACTTTGAACAAATAACGCTTCTTCATAATACCTTAATACCTGGGGGAAACACATTATTAAGTTGGCAAAGTTGTTTGTTTTTTTTTTAAGTGTAGAAGAACTTAACTAACTTATTTGTGGATCTGAATCCAGTTGAAATCTCACATCTTCATGTAGTTGATAGGATTTACCACAACTTCTATTCATTGTTCTAATGCAGTGGAATATCTAATCCTTATTCTTTTGAGCAGTTACTTAGATGCTGAGATTTTTCTTAATTATCAATATTATTATATTATTAAAGATGAAATAATAATTTTCTTTAATGCTTCCATTTGTTGTCTGTGCAAGATTTTGGCCTGACCATAAGAAATAGCATAATACATCCAAATTATAAATGACTTCAGATTTTCCTCTGAGTTTTCCACTGTAATTACTCTTGGGTGCATTTGAAATGACATTATATAATTCCTTAGGAAATAGCTGCATGTTCCAAGACAGGCACAATCATCCTGAATGGCTTTTGAAGGTTCACATTTTTAAAAAATCTTTTAAAAGATTTTATTTTTAAGTAATCTGTACCCACAATGTGGGACTCAAACTCACAAACCCAAGATTAAGAGTCACACACTCTACCAACTGAGCCAGCCAGGTGTCTGAAGCCTCACATTTATAGAAGTTACTATTTTAGAATTAAGATTGTATATGCATATGTATCCATATATGCAGATATGGAGATATGCAGATATGCAGACATAGAACATCAATATAAATGTATGCATACGATACACATAATGTGGAGGTATCCTTGTAGGCCAAAGTACAATTGCTTTTCAAGGAAAATCCTAGCCAAGGTGGTCATAGAAAACTGTGTCCAACCTTGCATATATCTCATAAACTTGGAAACTCTCTAAAGGACCCTCTATAATTAACTGTCATTTACAACCATTTATATTTCTTTTTCACATGCTACCTTTAAAAACTAACATAGTGTAACGTGTAGTATAATTTAGTTAGAAGTTATAGCCCTGCATGGTTTCTTAGTATTTGCTATCTACTTGACTCAGTTCAAAGTATTATTAAAGTATCATGTTAGAGCTCCATTAGTATTGGCTTACCTAAAATGAAGCTTGGTGTTGCATGATCAGAAATCACCTAGAATATTGTGTACCTATTTCCTTTGATACAAACTAAGAGTAGTAAGAATTTGAGCATTTCTGGGACACCTGGGTAGCTTAGTTGGTTGAGCATTGGACTTTGGTTCAGGTCATGATCTGTTCATGAGTTCAAGCCTTGCATCAGGCTCACTGCTGTCAGCATCAAGTCTGCTTGGGATTTTCTATCCCCCTCTCTCCCTGCCCCTCCCCTGTTCTTTCTCACTTAAAAATAATAAGTAGGCTTAAAAAAAAAAAGAATTTGAGCATTTCTCATTTTTCTCCTCTGACTATAAATTTTTCTTTGCTTCAGCTTTTGGACATAAATTAAGGTTGAGGTGAGAATATTGAAGACAACCTATATAGATTCCCGTTCCACACTAAATTGATCCTTGACGGGAGGTTAACTGGTGTTTGAAAGCTTATTTTTTTTTAAAAACAAATTACTGATATTTTAGCCTGGCTTATCCATAAAACTAGCATGATTATATTGGTTATGAGTAATTTTTCCCCTGGGAGCTAGTCTGTGAAGAACAAAAGCCGGATCTTTTTTCTTTCTTTCTTTTTTTTTCCTTCTAAACATGACATCTGGCCCTAGGAAGACAAAGTGAATTCACCATCTTGAACATTCTGTTGGAGTCAGGATTAGAGGAGGGGAAACCGCCAATAAGGAACATGGTTGCTACTTAAGGAACAGTAGTTTATTTTAGAGATTTTGTGGATTGTGTTCTCATCACCTGCTTTGACAGGGTATTGGTCTCCTCCCATAATATAATTCTTACTCCTTCCCAGAATGTAGAAGCCGACAATCCTCTGCCACTTGCCACTCTATGAAACCAAACTCTTCAGTATCATCAACTGTGACACCAGAAAATGGCACAACTAATGGATACAAGTCAGGATTCATTCAGACAGGTATGGGATATTTTCTTTTGGAATTTCAAGCAGCCAGATGTATGTTTAGTGGTTCACTTTAAAAATGACTGTTGGCTGGTTTGAATAGAAATGTTTTAAAACAAGTATTACCTGAGTTACTATTAGAGTTAGAAGTCAGCACTGAGATGGGTTAGTTCATGGATAAGAAATTTAGCTCAAGCATAGGACCTATCTCTAGAAAAGTCTAACAGTGGGCAATAAGTAGAAATCCAGACATGAGGAAAGTCTGTCTCATAGCTATCAGGTGGCATATACTGGGGACATAACTCATGAAGACTGGAGTTCTAGGGTAGGGCTCTAAACTAAGCCCACAGAACATTACAGGGAGTATTGCACCAACTGGTATATTAAGTAAGGTCCCAAGGTAGGACTGAGGATCACAGTGGAAGAATCCACTAGTTTCTAGTGGTTCAAGATGGAGGCTGGGTTACAAATAACCAGATAAAATTTTAGTGCCTGAAACCAGGTTATACTATCAGGGCAGGATCAGCAGAAGGGCCACACTGATACTGAACAGATAAGTTGCCAGTCTAAGGCTTCTAAAAATTCCTCCAGTGTAGAGAGTTGTACTAGCCCAGGCCCCAAGGACAGGATAAGGCTCCAGGTGGGACTTAATGTTTCCAGGTGGCTGGAGGGCTGGAGGGCTGTAACTGAAAATATCACTGCAGATAATATTTAAGAAAATTATTCATGGAATGCAAGCTGGTGCAGCCACTCTGGAAAACAGTATGGAGGTCCCTCAAAAAAACTAAAAATAGAACTACCCTACAACCCAGCAATTGCACTGATAGACATTTATCCAAGGGATATGGGTGTGCTGTTTCAAAGGGACACATGCACCCCCATGCAGCTCTATCAACAATAGTCAAAGTATGGAAACAGCCCAAATGTCCATCAATGGATAAATGGATAAAGAAGATGTGGTATATATATATGATGGAGTATTACTCGGCAATCAAAAAGAATGAAATCTTGCCATTTGCAACTATGTGGATAGAACTGGAGGGTATTTTGCTAAGTGAAATTAGTCAGAGAAAGACAAAAATCATATGACTTCACTCATATGAGGACTTTAAGAGACAAAACAGATGAACATAAGGGAAGGGAAACAAAAATAATATAATAACAGGAAGGGGGACAAAGCATAAGAGACTCATAAATATGGAGAACAAACAGAGGGTTACTGGAGGGGTTGTGGGAGGGGGGATGGGCTAAATGGGTAAGGGGCAGTAAGGAATCTACTCCTGAAATCATTGTTGCACTATACACTATTTTGGATATAAATTTAAAAAATAAAATTAAAAATAAAATAAAATCAGAAAAAAAAGAGAAAATTATTCAGAACCAGGCTAGGTTATATCTTAGGCAAGAAGGAAAGTATTTTAAAAGAATCTGTGAATTGTTTTCCAGTTCACTTGTTTTTTGTAAAGCATCATTTTACTCATCTGATATGCAAATGTCATAGTATAATGTGCTTTGCCAGCATCCCGTTACCCACAAGTTGAAAAGAAGGCTGTCTTCATTTATTTCACTACTTAGCATTCCTCTTTCAAGTTCATGTGAAATTTTGATGAGTTGATAAATTTTTTCTACTTACTTTCAAGAGGTAAGTAGTTATTAGAAGGCATTTGCAACAATAGCAATGGTAACAAGGCTAACCTTATTTGGGGCTCTTCTAGCTATGTTTCTGTACTCAGATTTAAAAGGTCTGATTTTTAAAGTGTCCAAGAGATTTAGATAGAGGCTCTAATCTAAGAGAAGAGAGCATATCTCTTTAGAATAAATGAGAGAACATTGTGTTACTAGGTATTCAAGAAAGAAAAAAGTTGGCACTTGGCTCTAGGCATTGAAACATTAGTTAGCCTTCATTACAATAATGATACACCTATATGTCTTTCCTAGAATATTATTTTAGTAACTTGTTTGATTCCATGGTATATTTTCTTCCGTTAGAACTTGGGACTACTGAAATGTAATTTTAAAACTACACTATTAAAAATGAATAGTTACTTAATTACAGTAAAAACTTATGAAATATTTACTGTGTCCTAAAACCCTTGTCACATACTGGAAGGCAGGGTTCCAACACTTGACCAATGGCTCTGATGATTTAAAACCACTCATGTAGGGGATAAAATCACAATAAAACATGTTACCTTTCTTTTTTTTTTTTTTTTTTAATTTTTTTTTTTTCAACGTTTATTTATTTTTGGGACAGAGAGAGACATAGCATGAACGGGGGAGGGGCAGAGAGAGAGGGAGACACAGAATCGGAAACAGGCTCCAGGCTCTGAGCTATCAGCCCAGAGCCCGACGCGGGGCTCGAACTCACGGACCGCGAGATCGTGACCTGGCTGAAGTCGGACGCTTAACCGACTGCGCCACCCAGGCGCCCCACATGTTACCTTTCTTAAAAGGGACAGGTAGATATATAAATAACCAGTTGTACCTGAAAACAATGAGAATATATTAACATGCTAAGAAGCAGTAATGCAGTTTTAATTATATTAGGAAATATATTTTGAAAACAAATACTGCTCTGAAATAGAGGAAATCAAGTTTTAGGCTTTAGCAAAGCTCCATCAATTGCCATGAAGAGACACAGACAAGGCACTGACTGCCTCACAGTGAATACAAGTGGCCAAGATTCATGCCCATATCCTTGAGTATCCCTTGTGGCGATTTGACCATGAAATTAGCTGTTAACAATTTTAGGTGAGATCCATAGAATTTAATAGAAGAAAGTAGCTTTAAAAGTGAGACTTTGTGGGGCGCCTGGGTGGCGCAGTCGGTTAAGCGTCCGACTTCAGCCAGGTCACGATCTCGCGGTCCGTGGGTTCGAGCCCCGCGTCGGGCTCTGGGCTGATGGCTCAGAGCCTGGAGCCTGTTTCCAATTCTGTGTCTCCCTCTCTCTCTGCCCCTCCCCCGTTCATGCTCTGTCTCTCTCTGTCCCAAAAATAAATAAATGTTGAAAAAAAAAATAAAAGTGAGGCTTTGTATCTAAAATTTTCTTCTTGACAAATTAGGTTTATGACTCTTCAACAATAATTTCTTTCTTCCTACACATGTTGAAAGCAATAGGCTTTAAGACTTTCATGTTAGTATTATGAAATCATTGCAATCATAAGAGTATGTAGCATCTCCTTAGCTAATAGAGATTCATCTTTCTATAGAAGATTGGCTTATTTTTAAAAATGTTTTTAATGTTTATTTTTTGAGAGAGAGAGAGAGAGAGAGAGAGTGCACAAGCAAGGGAGGGGCAGAGAGAGGAAGCAAAACACAGAATATGAAGCAGGTTCCAGGCTCCGAGCCATTAGCACAGAGCCCGATGCAGGGCTTGAACCCACAAACCGTGAGATCATGACCTGAGCCAAAGTCAGACACTTAACCAACTGAGCCACCTGGGTGCCCCTAGAAGATTGGCTTCTTAATCTGCAGTCAATGACTGCCTGTAATCAACATTTCTTAGCCTGAAATATAAGTAGGCACGTTGCATAGTATTTGAAGAAAGGATTAATGTGCCATTTACACAGTTATGTCTTGAATTCCACCTGCCAAGCTCCGGATTTTATGTTCTGGCTGGCTTGCCACTTTTCCTTTGCATATTATTTTCAACATATTTATGTCATTGATAATTCAAACTTTAGTCAACAATCCCAGTAAAACAGTTTCTCATTGTGGCTGAAGATGGCTGTGTAGTTACCTACGTATACTATACCCACATACCACATATAAATACATACACACGTATATATTTTGTGTTTAATCAAGACAAGAATTCAAGAATCAATAAAAAAAAAAAAAAAAAACCCTTGCCTACCTGAAGATCTTGAGTTTATCTTCCATGTTTTCTTCTGAAAGTTTTGTTGTTTTATCTCTTGCATTGAAATCTATGAGCCACTTTGAGTTAATTTCTGTGCACAGCGTGAAGTGAGCATCTAAGTTCATCTTTTTGCATGTGGATATACAATTGTTCCTATCTTTGAACAAACTACCATCTTTGAACAAACTACCTTCTTGTCAGTGAATTGCACTTGTCAAAAATCAATTGACCATAAATATAAGGATTTATTTCTGGAAAATGGATGAAATGGACTTCATCAAAATTCATGACTTTTACAGTTAAAAAGGCAACATTAAGAAAATGAAAAGACTGGGGCGCCTGGGTGGCGCAGTCGGTTAAGCGTCCGACTTCAGCCAGGTCACGATCTCGCGGTCCATGAGTTCGAGCCCCGCACGCATCAGGCTCTGGGCTGATGGCTCGGAGCCTGGAGCCTGTTTCCGATTCTGTGTCTCCCTCTCTCTCTGCCCCTCCCCCGTTCATGCTCTGTCTCTCTCTGTCCCCCCAAAAAAATAAATAAAAAACGTTGAAAAAAAAATTTTTTTTAAATAAAAAAAAAAAA